CATTTTGCTCAGATCAACCATCAACATTCATGGAAGCAGCAGTTGAGAAATCAAAGGATGTATTGCGTTATTAGGCAAATCTATGGCACAAGACGTCTTTTAAGTGTTGAAGAGTACCAGTTTGAGGACTAAGGTGTGTCTGATCCAAGCCATGGTATTTTCAGTAACTTCATGTGCATGTGAAAGTTGGATCAGTGAATAAAGAAATCCATAGAAGAATTGATACATTTGAGTTATGATGTTGGAGGAGAATATTAAAAGTACCATGGACTACCAAAAGATCAAACCATTCTGTGTTGGAAGAAGTACTGCCAGAAGGGTCCTTAGAAACTAAATGTGCATAGGGTTGCTATGAGTCAGTGCTGACTCAGTGGTACAACAACAACAACATGTAGAATATAAAAAGAACTCTCAAAACTTAACAGAAAGAAAACTCAAATGAAAAAGTGAACAACAAACTTAGATACTTCACTAATGATGATACAGTTATGGCAGGTAAGCATATGAAAAACTATTCAACATCTGTAGCTATGGAAATTAAAACCACAATGAGAAACACCTATATATCTACTAAAAATGTCTCAAATAAAACATAATGAAATTGTAAATGGCTGGTAAACATGGAGAGCAAAGGAACCCTCATACATTGTTGATGAGAATGAAAAAGGCCCCTTGGAAGACAGTTTAGCAGTTTCCTTGTGACCCAGCAATCCTGCTGTTCTTGGGTATTTATTCTAAAGAAAAGAGAATGCAATTTCCCCCCAAAACCTATACACAAATGTTCTATTAAAGCAATTCTATTCCTAATTGCCCAAAATTGGAAACAGCCTCAAACCCCTGTAATAAATGAACAAACGGTTGTGCATCCATACAGTGAAGTATTACTCAGCAGAACAAGGAATGAACTGCTTATACATACAACTTGGTTGAATTTCATTTGGAATATTCTGAGTGAAAGAAAATGGTCTCCAGATGTTACACACTGCATGGCCTAATTTATATGCTGCTCTCTAGAAAACAATAAGGAGCTCTAATGGTACAATGGTTAAGTGCTCAGCTGCTAACCAAATGGTCGGCAGTTTGAACCCACCAGTTTCTCCATGGGGAAAAGATGTAGCCAGCTTCTGTAAAGATTATAGTCTTGGACACCTTGCAGGACTTGTCCTATAGGGTGTGCCCTAGAAGGTTGATATGGGTTGGAATCAACTCTACACCACTGAGTTTGGTTTTGGTTTTCTCTAAAGACAATTATAGTGATGGAGAAAATTCTCTAGTCTTTAGGTAGTGGAGAACTTGACTGTAAATGAATAGCACAAGTGGACTTCCTGGGAGTAATAGAACTGACTAGTGATTCTGTTGTTGTGTGCCATTGAGTCAGTTCTGGCTCATAGCAACCTTGTATAGGGTTTTTAAGAGCAGCTAGTGAGTTTGAATTGCAGAGCTTGTGGTTGGTTAGCAAGTCCAATGCTTATCCTACAGTGCTACAAATTCATAAATGTATTAAGATTCATAGACTTGTTTGAAAAAAGTCAGTTTTGCTCTATGGTCATTTATAAATACAGAATTAAGCTTGAAATACTGAATTCAACCTTAAGAATGCTGTATTTTGATTCCAGGAATCCAAGGAATTGATAGTTCAAAATAATGGGACAAATAAAATCCTTTTTCCATAGGCAAGCCTCTTAACTTACTTTACTGAACTAAGGTTGCCTGTCTCCAGCATCTGATGCCAAAGCCATATTAATTCCCAGACATTCCTCTTATTCCTATGAAAGGTGATTGATTTTTCTCTATTGTACTGGCCAGGGTATATTGTTTTTGAGAAACATTGTTGTAAATCCAGCTCCAACCAAAACTATAGCCAGTTACCATTTTGGTTAAGAGTTTTCTAAAATATTATATATGAGATTTCAGTAACAAAGTATAGTTTTTGAGTGGGAGAAAGCATTTTAGTATATATGTTGTTGTTGTTAAGTGTTGTTGAGTCCATTCTGATCCATAGCGACCCTGTATAGGGTTTCCAAGGAACAGCTGGTGAGCCTGAACCACCGACCTTGTGGTTCAAACTGACTTTGCAGTCCAGTGCATTAACTCACAACACCACACCAGGACTCCTGTTTATATAGGTAGAGGAATTATGAAGACAGATCAATTTTAAAACCTTTCCTTTGGTGTGACTTATCTTATTGATGCAACCACCCCACCCCCCCAACTAGTAAGGACCTGTGTTTGATTTGTGATGTAGGGTAGATTAACTAAAATCATTGTGTCACCTGTAAGTTCTGGATGTGGCAACATCAGACTCTGTAAATATGTGTTTATTATTATTATTATTAATGCTTTATTTTGAATTATGTGATAGCTGACATGGGAGGACATCAGCTTCACATTGATCCCGTCGTATATCGTTTTCTTGCCATGCTTACAGTCCCTCCCATGCATCATCCATTAACCAAAGGGTATACCCCGCAAGCCTGCCCTGTAGTCATCTGCATACCACCCCTTTCTCTCTCCGGGTCCAAAGTCCTCAACTGCTCCATCTCCCCACATCATCGTATCCGCCACCATCCCTGACATCACTGCTTCTTTGGGTAGGGTTCTCTTCTCTGCTCTTCTCCTTTGATGGTCCCAGGGACGTCCGCTCCTAGACTGCAAAGTTAATCACTCCCCACCCTTTGCCCTAAAACGTCTACCTTTACATTTCCAGCCCTCACAATCAGTCCTGATAACAATTATTCACTGTTGTATCACAAGAAACCTATCCGCATCTCCTTTCATCAGCCCTGACTAGGCAGAATAGATACTACTCAGTGGAGATTCTACCTTGCTTTCCATGCCCTATGGATCTAGATTCCCTCTTGAAAGCTTGTAAGCCAGTCACTTCTTGCCTCTGTACCTCCCCACCCCCACCCATTCTGGGTAGTTTGCCCATCCCTGTCCTCTCCGTGTGCGGAGGAGTTGGGAATGATCCTTGCTGTGAAGAGTTGTTCACTCTTTTGAGCTTTTGCTTCCATAGGTGTGTGTCAAGTTCATCAAATTGTATCAGATTCTACTTTTTTCCCTCTTCTTTCTTCTTCTGTTTGAGCTCTGATCATCCAGCCATTGAAGCCAGGTCAAGTGGGTATTATCTGCAAGTGTGGGTGTACTTATGCATGTGCCCTCTCTTATCAGCTGGACGCTTCACTCTCCACTCTAGTCCTCTGTGGCTATGTCGCTGACTCTGGGTCCAAAAGTCCCCTGGACTTGGCACACTGCTGGCCAACCAGGTCTCCATCCGGGTTCACACGAGTCTATTGACCATTGTAGGGCTTAGCTCGCAGCTTCATTGCTGTTTTTCCCTCACTTCCCCATATCCCTGATGAAGGTGGTCACCAATCAGAGCATGCATTCCCATTGAGCCTTAGTCTTAGGAGATTTGCCTTGAGGGAGACCCGACCACTTGCCTTGATGGCTCCTGGGCGAGCCACTTGTTTGTTCTTGTAGTGATCAGTGTTTATTATTTAAGAGACCAACAACAACAGAAGATATTTTGTAATTTCTGAACTTTTTTTTTTAGCAATTTATAAGTAAATACAGTTTAAAGAATACTTACCTTCTAATTTATAGAGCAAATGGAAAATGATTCTTAGCTTGCTTTATTTTTTTTAGCTACTTTCTACTTTATTAAAGATTCTATTACTTTTGACTTATTCTTTTATCTTTCCTTTAATACTAAAAAAAAAAAAAAAAAAAAACCTGACGTGATCTTAAAGTTGAATTTCTTTGCTTTATATGTCTGAGAATATTACACCACAAAAATTTCCTTTTATCATTCTGTTCAAACGTTAAAATTTTGCTTAGTGATCTTGTGAGAGAATAGTCTCATCTATTCTCCTTGTAGCCCGATGGGTTGCTTTTAGTTAACTACCTTCAAGTCTGGTATTGTTTGAACATTTCACTTGCACCAGCCCCACATTTTCCTCTTTTGCAATGGCATTAAGATTTTGATGGAAAACAAACCTTCTTTCTTTTCAGGAAAAGCTAAAGACCATTTTGGTGTTTTGTTTTTATTTTTTCACCTTTTATTTATTTACTTGTTTTTAATTTATTTAAAGACTACCACTTGACATGTGCCTTGATGAAATGATGCTACCATCATACATTTGTTTTTCACATTTGCTGTCTTATCCATCTGCTTTTTAATAGGGGGTCTTTTATGATACTCCTGGATAGTTTTACACATGTACTTGGTTATTAACTAAAAGATTATACCTTGTAGATTTTTTGGCATTGTGAGTTAGTGTCTTGAAAGATGTAAAACAAAATAGTACTAAATTACATTTTTGCTGTTACAAAATGTAATTATTTGAAAAATGAGAAAGTCTGATGTGTTGAAAAAAGTTAAAAACATTTAGTCTGAGTTCTGTTTCTACCATTAACTGCATGAATGACAATGATTTTTATGATGTTTCCTAACTGCTTGAAGCCTCACTGCCTCCCAAGTAAGAAGAGCATGAAGTCTGTGGGTGATTCACATGTGTCTTTATATCAGTAATACATATCTTTGAATGTAGTTATGAGACATAAAAGTTAATTTTTATAAATTAAAGAAATTTTAGATTTTTTTACTATACTGTGCCAAAAAATGATTTTTTATAGTAATTTTATTTTAATCTGAAAAGTTTGATCTTTTCTTCTCCAACTTGTTGTTCAATTTATTCTAAAGGTATTTCTTACCTGTGTTTAACCAGACAGATTATTCTTTGCATGCCTTTTCTTCTATCCTACCTATACTTGCCCCTTCCTTGAAGTTCTGCCTACATAGTTAAGACATTTAGGACTAAAGAGGTTGTTGGAATAAGGGAATCTGGGAATGTGCCATTGGTTAGAAGAATCTAATATTTATTTTACACTGTTACCCTATTTGGGGGAAAATATAGAAATGAGTGTAGTGATCAGTTTCTTTATCCCTCTGAGCATGACTGTATAAACAATGATTTTTCTTTGTTTCCTTCTTCCAGTTACAACAGTTGGAACTTGCACAGATACAGCACAGAGATGCCAATCTCACAGCTCTTGCAGCTATTGGACCAAGGAAAAAGAGACCACTAGAATCTGGAAGTGAGGTACTGAAATAATGTTTATTTTATTTTTCACGTCAAGAAAGTAAGCTAAATATGAAGCAAAGGCATGGAATAATATAGCCTGTCTTGTACCACATTGCTAGCAAACTCCTCTTTCTTAAGAAGCTTATTTACCTATATTATGAAATTTTGACTTATGCTTTTTTTTTTTTCCCAAGAAGTCTGTTACCTTCAATTTATTTCTAACTTGTTACTTATTCACACTTCTTCCTGTCCTGATTTCTAATCCCAGTTTTTATTTTCTGTGCATTCTTTCTAGTGATCTTTTCAAATTTTGCTTATCTATTAACATTGAATCATTTGTTTTATTTTGTCTGTGAATGCTGACTACTAGGGTAAGTCAGAAAGTATTGCTACAAAATCATGGAAGGCTTTAGTAAACACAAATAATAAAGTGTAAAGGTATTATTAGTTCTCGAATCTCCTCCATCTGGGTCTGTATACTTGTGAAGGCGTTTCCATCTCTCTAACCCTTTTCTGAAAAATTCTGTGTTCTTCAATTTTTGCCATGTTAAAACATCAATTTGACATCCCTGTGGGCCTCATATCGTATTCCTTTTCAGTGTTTGGGTTTGGGGGACAAAAAACTGAAGGGGCAAGATCAGTGCTGTAGGACACATGGGAACAAGGTTTCCCAGTGAAAGTCTTGTAGGACAGCCCTTACTACCCTCAAAGAATTAGGTAGGTGCATTGGAATGATGGGGGTGGGGGGAATTCTTCAGGGCTACCAATGCAGTTTTCAGTTTTCTTAAGCCTTCTTTCCAGAAAGCCCCTGTAATGGCCCTATGTACTTCAAGAAAATCTATCAAGATTATTCTTTTGGGATCTCAAAAAACAGTCACTGAGGTGACTTCTCTGCCTTAAATTTAGCTTACCCAGCAGATCCTCTTGGAAGCTACTGTTCTGATTTAAAAAAATTTTTTTTTAAAAAGAAGAAACTCTAATCAGTCTAATGAGCCGTAGCATGACACTGTAGGATAAGCCTTGGACTGGTAACGACAAGGTCAGCTGTTCAAACTCACCAGCCCAGCCACTCTTGGAAGCCCTATATTGGAATCACTATGAGTCGGAACTGACTCTTCGGCACGCAGCAGTGTGATAGTGTGTTATTGAGAGAACTTGTATGCATGTTTTAACACTTTTTGTTTGGAGGAATAAACCTATGTATGTATGAACTGGAACCCTAGTAGCAATATTTTTATAATCTACCCTTGTATTTATTCCTATACTGACTTCGTTTCTAATCATGTAATGTGTTTGCATGACATTAATTGATTTTTTATTTTTTCTATAATAAATAGTTTTTCTTCTGTTAGATTACAAATTTCTTGAGCAGGTGTTATAGTCTTATTTATTTGTATACCTCCCCCAGAACTGAGGACATGATTATTGTAAAGATCATCTTTACTTCTTCAGAGCAATCATTTCTTAAATGTTAGTGGTTGAGATCTATCAACAGGGCTTAAGAAGTCTGGTAAATGTTTTGGAATGGGTACAGCATTGAAGGCACCAACTCTCATCCCTTCCAGCTTATAAAATATAAATATACTTTGAGGCAAGCAGATGAAAGGTTTTTAAAAATCTAGTTCTGTTTCATTATAAATGAAATGAGTGTAATATGGTCACATGTTTTAAAAAATATCAAACTTTACAGAATAAAAATGCATTAAAAAATGTTTCCTTCCCCCAAATTTCCAGTGCCCAATTCCTTACAAACCAGATAAAAGCAATTTTAAGTTTTTGAAGATCCTGCCAGAAAATTGTTATGAATATAGAAATAATATCTAATGTGCATTTACAAATCCGCTTATTTTAAGTGTGGTCAAACTATACTTACTGTTCTGTCCTTGGTATCTCTCCCTTTGCATAATCTACCTCTTACGGATTTATCTCATACTTTTAAAAGAAGTGACATTATAGTGTTTTAATAAAACATAATTTACTCAACTAGTCCCCTAGTGGACAGTTAGCTTCATTCCAGGGTTTTCCTGTTAACTGCTCCTGAAAACATCCTCATACTTAAATTATTGTGTGATTGTATCATGTAACTGTATGTATGCATAATTCCTCAAAATGGAACTCTTGAGTTAAAAGATAGGCACATTAGTAAAACTTTCTGGAAATATTTAAGCATAAAGGAAAGTAAGAAAGAATTATGTAATGCACCCTGATTGTGCCCACCACCCATCTACAGCCAGTATTAATAATTTACACCTAACCTTGTTTCATTTATATGTCTACTTGTTCTCCCAGGGAAGTGTTCTTCCCCTCAGGCTACTCCTAGACTCAATAACATTTTATCCGTAAATATTACTTTTTGCTTTTTGATAAATATTTTTAAATTATCCTCTTAAGTTGAATGAGATTATGCATCTACCAGTAGTATATAAGTGATTGTACATCCATCAGTATTATATGAAAGTGCCTGTCTCCCTTAACACTGGATATGATCTTTACCACCTGATGGTTGAAAATGCAGTTTTTAAAATAGCGTGTATGAATTATATGAGCAAAGTTAAGCAATTTTTCATGTGCATATTGACACTTCCAATGTAACTTTTTCCTGCTAAATTTAAGTTGACTAAGGAAATGAAAAAGAGCTCTGGTAGCATAGTGGTTACGAATTGGACTGCGAACCGCAAAGTCAGCAGTTCAAAACTACCAGCTGTTCCGTAGAAGAAAGATGCTTTCTGCTCCTGTAAAAATTTACAGCCTCCGAAACCCTGTACAGGGTCACTATAAGTCGGAACCGACTCCACGGCACACACCACCACCAAGGAGATGAAGCCCCTTATTCTTTTATTTCTGTTTGTCTGGGGTTTATTTTTTATTTTCCTCAAAATAAAAATCAAGTCTTTCTATCTTCTGGACTTAAGTTCTATTTAGACAGCCCTTTTTTAGTTGAATTTTGAATTAATATTTTCATATTTTACCCTTAAAGTGTAAATCTTTGATTCACCAAGAATTTCTTTTCAGGAATGAATTTAGCTTTATTCCCTCAGTCCTCTGTCCAAGAAAATTGTCTAAACACCATTTGCTCCCCAATTCTTTCTGTATTAATGGCAAATAACACCTTTATCACACACAATTCTGAGTTGAATAAAAGTTTCCAAATGTACTGGAGTACCCTCTGGACCAGCATTGTTTAACAGACTTCAGTGATGATGAAAATGATCGGCATTGTCCTCAGTAGCCACAAATGGCTGCTGAGCTCTTAAAATATAACTGAGGAAATGTTAATTTTTAAAAAGTAAATTTAAATAAACCATTGTTGCTAACTGTCAGCGACTTTATTGAACAGTACAGCAGGCTGTTGTATTGATCTATTTCTGTATCAGTTCCAACCCTTAATTACTATTGCTTGTTGTTAGGTGTCATAGAGTGAGTTCCAATGCATAGTGACCTTGTATAGGGTTTCTGAGGAGTATCTGGTGAATTTGAACCTTGTGGTTCAAAACTGACCTTTCAGTCTAGTGCTTTTCCTACAGTGCCACACCATATATCTTATTATATGGTTAAACTAGACCTATAGAAACTTTTTTTTCCTACTTCTTTTGCATGATTTCCAACCTCAAATAAGTGTTTAATAAATTGTCATTGTAGTAATAATCATTGCCATTATTTTAGCTTTCAGTACTGTTTTACAAGCAGTGGCACAGTGAGTTAAGCATTGGGCTGTTAGCCATTAGATTGATAGTTCAAACCCACCAGCCATTCCGCAGAAGAAAGATGAGGCTATCTAGTCCCTTAAGGTATACAGTCTCAGAAACGGATTGTTAGGTGCCATTGAGTCGATTCCAATTCATAGCTATTATGCACAACAGAAGGCAACACTGCCTGGTTCTGATCCAACCTTACACTTGTTACATTATGAGCCCATTGCTGCCGCCACTGTGTCAATCCTCATTAGGGGTCTTTGGTTTTTCAGCAACCCTCCCTCCATTTTACCAAGCATGATGTCCTTCTCCAGGGACTGGTCTCTCCTGATAACATGTACAAAGTATGAGAGACCAAGTCTCACAATCCTGGCTTCCAAGGAGCTTTCATTCTGGCTGTACTTCTTCCAAGACAGATCTGTTTGTTCTTCTGGCAGTCCATGGTACTTTTGATATTCTTCCCCAACACTGAAATTCATCTGCATCAGTCCTTCTCAGGTCTCTAACACCGTAACTAACTCAAATGCATCAATTCTTTTAAGGAATGCGCCTTAAAAACTAAAACAAACAAAAATACGCATCAATTCTTCTACAGTCTTCATTATTCACTGCCCAAGATTCACCTGCATATGAGACGATTAAAAATACCATGGCTTGGGTCAGGAGCATCTTAGTCTTCAAATTGATTATCTTTGCTCTTTAATACAATAAAGAGATCTTTAATACTTTTAAGTATCTTTAATACGTTTGCAGCAGGTTTTGGAAACCTATGGAGCATTTCTGTTTTGGCCTTCAGGATTGCTGTGCGTTGATCTAATTTGACTGCAGTTGGTTAAGCAGTGAATTCAAAATAGTAACTATTAGTCTCTTTAGAACTTTGGGTCTCTATCTTGTTAAACTTCGTCACAAATTTTAGAGATGTTAAATATACTGATTTATTATAATCAGATTTTTAAGTGTTTTTTTCCTAACATGGATATAAATATATGGCATTGTCATTCCACACTTGCTACTTTAGTTTTGAGAACTTGAGATGTATATTTTCTGGATTTTTAAGTTGAGTAGTTGTCAGACTTTTACTGAATTAATCATAGTTAATGTTATTACAGATAATGCCAATCTGGATTAGAAATACCCATTTCTTTAATGAATTGGTGAGGCTGTTAGCATCATCTTTATTTTGTTGATTTTTATTCATAATATTTTAATTTTAAGGCATTTTTAAAATGGGAAGCTGGAGAGAACCCTGTGACATGCTGCTTCATTGTCTGAATGCTCAGGCAGCCCCCACAGCTTGTTCATTGGCACTCAGACAGGAAGGTCACC